TGACCTGGGTAACAACCCAGAACTTCTAGCTTGTGAGACCGAAGCTCTATCAACATAGCAACCCCGGTCTATTTACGTGTAAATAAAAAATTCATGATGAACTATTTTATATGAAGAGGTTTCAAAATTTACTAAAGAACCCATTACACACCGCAAATCCCAAAAGCTCTGCAAGGAACTGAAACTGAAATACACTAAACCTATTGATAGGATTACCACGGTCACTTATGATGCTAAAACCTTTAAACAATCAGTGGCTTGCACAAATGTTAATTCACCAAGAGCACATAAACTCTTAAGTAACTTCGCCTTCAAACTTATAACCTGCTTGCATAATAAAGATGAGTTATATATTCCTCAGCGCAGGTTTTCTAGCCAAAGGAACCGGGTTCCAATAGCAGTTCTTTTTCAAAAGATATCATGAGATCAGCGACTGGACAAACGGAAGAAACAAAAATCAAGAACCTTCTGAATTACCTCTTCCCGCAAAAAACACAGAATTAATTATTGACAAAGAAAATAATTTCGGTCTTCCATTTTTTGATACATCGATAACTCTGGTAACTTTTTAAAGTACGGTGTTTTTCGAAGAAGTTTTAAAAGAATCCTGGGACTAGTTCTGGAATAGTTTACAACTGCTAATTTATTTAAGCAATTTTATTTAAAATTTCATTCAAATATATACGGAGTGCACATTCACTGCTGAATCTGAAGCAAGATCCGCAACGATCATGCATCTCCAAGTAGCGAATCATCAGTGGGAAGGCACAAGCTGTCTTTCCTTCCTTTTGTATGACGAGCTCTGATTTGGTGCCGGGGTCGCGACTGTTCTCGGTGCATTTTACACGTGTTTGCTATTAGAACAAGAGTACGCTGTTAGTTCGTAAAGAGAGATATGACTTAAAGTAGCATAAATTTATTAACAGTTAAATCATATGACAGAAGTAGCCATGCAGGACTGATCTTGTAAGCTTCTTTTTGCCTGTTAAATTTTCTTTTTGTCCGATCCACCGCGTCTGCTTCCATGATCGTCCTTTTCGCCAAATG